CCACCCTGGGAATCCTTGTGGGGACACCCCGTGCCGGGTGGGACATTCCTGGCCACAGTCCCCTTTTCCCACTGCACGAGCGGGTCCGTGGGCGGCTCCGCAGGGAGGATCCCATCCCATCCCAGACCCGGAACATCTCCTTCCTCGGCAGGTCTCCAAGACCGGCAAAGAGCTCAAGGAGTACATCGAGTCCATGGCGGGGGAGGACCCGCTGCTGAAAGGGGTCCCCGAGGACAAGAACCCCTTCAAGGAGAAGGGAGGCTGTATAATAAGCTGACCCCCCCCGGCCCCGCTGGCACCGCCGGGCACGGGGATGTTCCCGTGTGCCACCCAGGACTGTCAGAAACCTGCTTTCCCCGTAGTCCGCCCTCGGCACCGAGGAGGAGCCCAGAACCACAGCGTAGTGCAGCTAAAGGACAGCAAGAGGAAAAAAAAGAAGATAAAAAAAGAGACAAAAAACCCCCCAAAAAACCCTCCCCGCTCACCCTCCCCACTGCCACCGGGCTGAGGTTCGTCCGTGCTCCCACAGCTGAGCTCTGCTTTCCCACGAGCACAACTTCTGCATTTCCAGAGCAGAGGGGGGGAGATGAAACCACCGAGCTGGGGCTGCTCTCACACGGTTCCAACCCCCCCCCCGAGCCCGGAGCTGAGCCCCGCTGGCTCCAGAGGAGCCTCCCGGCTGCCTCAGCCCATCCCGCTGCACCGAGGCTCCCAGGGCTCTGGAGCTTTATCCCGTTTATCCCTAAGGATCCCCCAGCCGGTGCCCACCCCTCCTCGTGCCCACCGTGCCCACTGTGCCCCTTCCATCGAGAGATCCCTGTGGGATCGGGCACGGGAAGGAGTGAGGTGCCACCCCCACCTCCCAGCCTCGCTTCCTCCCCTGGAAAACCCCCCTGGCAGCCGCGGGAAAATAAGTTTGTGACCCTGGGGGCTCCGAGCGCGGCCCCGGTGTCACCGTGTCACCTCCCCTCCGCTCCCGGCTCTCATCCCACCGTGTCCCATCAGCGACTGGGATTGACTCGGAGCCAGCAGGACTGCCTGGAGCAAGGCAGGGTTCATTCTCCAGCCCTAAGACATCAATGCCAGGCCTGGATCCTCCCGCTCCCAAATTTTTACAGGACAAATTTCACCCCCTGCTTGACAGGAAAACGCTGAGTCCTTCAACAGGGAAGGTTTGTGGGATTTGTTGTTGGGATTGGTTTGGGTTTGTTTTTTGTTTGTTTGTTTTTTAAATCCATTACAGCTACATTTAATCTTTGGGGAAAACTCTCCAGATCTTCCCCAGACCCTCAACCCCAGAACAGAAGCAGCAGCTCTTTCAATCTCCGAGTCCCTCAGCTCCTGTCCCTGCCGTGGGTCGTCCCCATCCTCCTCCTGCTTCGTGCTGACCACTCCTGCCAGAGGAGCAAACCTCTCCCACTCCTTTTCCTTGGGAAGGGCTGAGGGTGCAGGACTCACCTGCTGCCTGTTTGGGAGGGTGTGGGGTCTGCTGGAACGTGGGAGCTGCTGCTGGGGCTCCAGGAGAGCGTGGAGATGGACCTGGGACTGGCTCACTCGCAAGGAAACACCTCTGGATCCCCCTTGGAGCAGCGTTTTCCTGCCTTCTGGGTCTGGGAATGAGGCACGGGGGGTCCCTCAGCACTTCGGTCACCCCAAAAGGGGGGGCCCTGCAGAGAACAGACACAAGGAAGCGGATTTTCCTCAGGCAGGGGGTTCCCCCCCCTCCCCCCTAACCCCCCCCCCGCCCCTCCCCAGCCAAAATCCCACCAAAATCAAGGTGGGTTTATCCTCCTGCAGACGCTCAATAAACCCTCCAGCTCGAGCACAGCCTCTGTCTCTTCTTGCAGCACCGAGGAGCAGGAAACACTCTTTACAAAGAGAATTTATGGGCTTTATTTTCACTTTAAAGCGGGACCCAAATGTTGGGTTGTGGCTGATGAATTGTTTTTTTTTTTAATGCTCTGTCTTCCATGCTTAATTTTTTTCTTTAGAACCTGGATATTTCCTTCTTCCCTCAGCGTTCCACCTCCATCCTCCTCACTTCCCTGATGCAGCGGGGCGGAATCCCGAGTTTTGATGGATTTGAGGGTTCTCTTGGAGTTTTTTGGGGGTGGCAGAATCCTGGTTTTTGATGATTTTACTGAATTTTTTTGGGGTGGCAGAATCCTGGTTTTTGATGATTTTACTGAGTTTTTTAGGGGCTGGTAGAATCCTGGGTTTTGACAATTTTTATTGAGGTTTTTTTTTAAGGATGTAGAATCCTGCTTTTAGATGGTGTTGATGCTTTTATTGGGGGGGTGAAAGAATCCTGGATTTTGATACATTTGTTGATTTATTTTTTTTTTATTGGAAGGGTGGAAAAATCACATTTTTTGATTTTTTTTTTGCCTTTTTTTTTTTTTGAGGTGGCAGAATTCTATTTTTTTATGGGTTTGTTGAGTTTTTTGGGGGTGGTAGAATTCTGTTTTTTGATGGAGTTTATGGGTTTATTGGTTTTTTTTGGAAGGGTGGAAGAATTAAGTTTTTTGATGAAGTTGATGATTTTATTTTTTTGGGGAGGGGTGGCAGAATCCTGTTTTTTGATGGAGTTGATGATTTTATTTTTTTTGGGGGGGTGGGGAGGGGTGGCAGAATCCTGTTTTTTGATGGTTTCCTTGGGGTTTTCTGGGGGGTGGCAGAACCTGTTTGTTGATGGAGTTAATGTTTCTGTCGGGTTTTTTGGGGGGTGTCAGGACGGCAGCAACACAAGGGGGGGGGTGATGAAGCTAAATTTGGGGTGCGGCATCATTAACTTGGGGAGCACCCTTGGGTGCTGCTTCTCCCAACCGCAGCTCCAAGACAATTTCAGGCTATTTAGGTAAGAAAATGGCACTTTCCCGTCACGGCCCTGAGGTGGCCGGATCCACCGGGGCCTGAGCTGCCCCTAATCCAGGGCGATAATGGGGCTGCGGCCGGAGGGGATTGACCCGTTAATCGACGCTAAACGGCTGGAAACCTGCGTCAGAGCCGGCTAAGCCGCTGCTGAAGGGATTCGGGACGCTACTGGAGCAGCAGCGGCTTAAAGGACAAGCAGGAGGGGCCCCTCAGAGCCCACGAGCGATCGCGACGCGACCGGGCTCCAACCAGCCATGAGGGCTTGGGGGTGACGGGGGAAGGCGGGGCGAAGCGCGCTCCCTGCCAATAGGAACGCAGGATTGCCAGAGTGACAGCCCGCGCAGCCAATCAGCGATGGAAAAGGGAGAGGGCGACACCCCCCACGCCGTGAGGTCTCGAGCCGTCATGAAGAGTGAGGCGGGGCGAAGCGCGCTCTCAGCCAATAGCAGCACGGGATTGCGAGAGTGACAGCTCGTTCAGCCAGAGATGGAAAAGGAAGAGTGCGACTCCCACCACAAAGGCTCCGAGTTGCTGAGGGGAGGCGGGGTGAGGCGTGCTCTCAGCCAATAAGAACACAGAATTCCTAGAGTGACATCCGTATCAGCCAATCAGCGATAGGAAACGGAGAGCGCGAACCCCCAGCGAAGGCTCGAACCCACGATAGGGCTGCTGGGGGGAGAGGCGGGGCGAGGTGCGCTCCCAACGTATAGAAACACATAATTACTAGAGTGACATCTCTCTTAGCCAATCAGCGATAGGAAACGGAAGGCACGAATCCCCAGAAGGCTCGCGGCTGCCGAGGTGGGAGGCGGGGCGAAGCGCTCATCAACCAATAGAAACGCGGGGTCCACATGAATGACAGCCAACGCAGCCAATCAGAGACGGGAAACTGCGGAGCTCCTGCGCAATGAACTGCGCAAGGAAGCGCCGGGCGCGCAGGAACAAAATGGAGCGCGAAGGGGCCCGTGCGGGATCCGCGCTCCCGGTGCCGCCCCCGCCGCCCCTCAGGCACCGCTCCCGCCGCGCCACCGGGAGGGGAGAAAAGAGAAAGAAAGGATCCTCCAAAAAAAACCAAACAGAAAAAAAAAAAAAAAAAAAAAAACCAAAGCGAGGTCCCACCGAGATTTGAACTCGGATCGCTGGATTCAAAGTCCAGAGTGCTAACCATTACACCATGGGACCGCTGGGTGTACCGGGAGGCCCCGCGCGCCCTCTCCAGTGCTCCTCTCCCCGCACGGATCCCGCCCGGGCCCCGGGCTACCCCGAGCACCCCAAAGTCCCGCGGCCCCCGCCCCATCCCCGGGGCTACCCCCGCGCTCCTCCACCCCAACACTCAGAGCCCCTTTCTACCTTTATTTCTTCCCACCTCGTTTCCTGCTTCATTCCTCTCTTTTTTTAATTTTTTTTTTTATTTTCCCTCCTTGTGTCTCTATTTTCCTCTATTTCTCACTTTATTTATTTTCCACTCTATTTTTCCATATATTTATCCATTTTTCCTCTATTTCTCCTCTATTTTCCCTTTCTCTATGTACCACTTTATTTCTCCTTTTACCTATTTTCCTCTTATTTCCTACTTTATTTTCCTTTATTTATCCAGTTTTCTTTATTCCCCCTTTATTTCTCTTTCCCCTTCTATTTCTTCTGTTTCCCCCTTTATTTCACCTTTTCCTTCTATTTCCCCTTTATCAATTTTTTTCTGCTTATTTCCCCCTATTTAACTCCCCTACCTCCCCCTTATTATTCATTTTCCCCTCTATTCCCTCTATTCTCCCTTTTACTTTTTCTCCTCTAGTTCCCCTTTATTTCTCCATTTGTCCTCTATTTCTCCCTTTTCCTGCTCAACCCCTTTATTTCTTTTTTCCCCTCTACTCCCCAGTTTTTCTATTTCACCAATTTTTCCTCTCCCATATTTTTCCCCTTCCCCCCATTTCTTTTTCTCTCCAATTTCCCCCCCTTACTTTCCTCTATTTCCCCTCTGTATCTTTCCCCCCTTTATTCCCTCCCTTTTCCTCCTATTCCCCTTTTTTATCAACTTTCCCTCTCGTATCTCCATTATTTTTCCCCCTTTATTTTTTCCCTCTATTTCCCCACTTTATTTCCACCTCCATTTCCCTTTATTTATTTCTTTTTCCTCTATTTCCCCCATTCCCTTCCCCTCTATTCACCTCTCTTCCCCTCTTTCCCTATTTTTCCTTTATTCTCTTTATTTCTTTTCCCCTTGATTTATTTTCCCTCCATTTTCCCTTTATTTCCCTACTTCCCCATCAATTCACCCCTTTATTTCCCCCCCATAATTATTTTTCTCTGTTCCCCTTTCCCTTTTTCCCCCTCTATTACCCTTTCCCCCTTTATTTCTCTTTCCCCCTCAATTTTTCCTCAATTCCCCCCTTTGTTTTCCCTTTAATTTCTCCATTTTCCTCTATTCCCTCCCTTTCTTTTTCTCTTTTTTCCTCCCCTCAGACCCCATAAAACCACACAAACACTTCATTTTTTTTTTTGCTTGTTTCTCTGTCTGTTTTTTCTCTTTATTTTTAAAAACGAAACAGTGGAAATAAAGCGGTTTGTGGCAAAAAAAAAAAAAAAAAAAAGAAAGAAAAAACCAAAACCATCCTCGTTGGAAAAGAAACAGAACCCAGATCTACCCAAAATCCCAACTCCACATCCCTCCTGCCAGGGGAACAGGGAAAGAACATGGGTTAGAAGAGGCAAGAGGAGAGGGATGGGGGGAAAAGGCAAAAATCGGTGGAAAAGAGGAAAAACAATATCACAGAAAGTACAATTTTATTTATTTTTTTTTACCTAAACAGCCTGAAATTGTCTTGGAGAAGCAGCACCCTTGGGTGCACCCACGTGGTGCCGGGTGTCCCCAAGCTGATGATGCAGCACCCCAAATTCAGCTCCATCACCCCCCCACACCCTCCCATCACCCCAAAAAAAGCCCCCTCACCCCCCTAAAAAAAAATAAAACCCCACTGGAAAAATAAAACCCCGACAAAATGATCGACCACAATTCCCCCCCCAGCCCAAAGCAGGGAGGTGGGAAAAGTGAGGAGGGTGGAGGGGGATTGGAGAGGGAAGAAGGAAATCTCCAAGTTCTAAAGGAAAACGACAAAAAAAAATAAATCATGGAAGATCGAGTATTAAAAAAAAAAAATATACAGATCATAAGATCAGTCACAACCCAAAAATTTGGGACTGGTGAGGTCTGGAGCTTTACCAACTAACGGTCACTTTAAAGTGAGAAGAAAGCCCATAAATTCTATTTTTAAAGAACATTTTTCTTTGGAAAAAGAGAGTAATTTTTCTTTTTTTTTTTTTTTAGGTTTTTTTTTTAATTTTCCCCTAAACTACAGCCTGTGGAGTTGCCACTACCTAGAGTTCACCTATTGGCTAAGAGGTAGATAAACAAAACTGACTTGGTTATATAGAGGGTTGTGGCCCGGGATGGAGCCCGAGGGATTCCCGGCCCTCGGAACATCCCGGGATTCCCGGCGGGTTTCCCTCCTCTGGAGCCACCCTGAAAGTTTGCCTGGTTTCAGCTCATCCACAGAAGCCGACGGAGGCACAGGGAGGGGTCGTGGTTTAAGGCCAGATTTCCTCCTGGAGTCCAGGAATTCCATCCCGAGTTGAGTCCGGAGGTGCTTCCACCGAACCGACCCAGCGAGCCAGGTGTGGACATTTTATGGATTCCTTCCCGCCCTGGTTCCAGGCAATCCCAACACTTTCCCGGGATGATGCACCGAGTGATGGCAGAGCTGGGGCCGTGCTCCAGGTCAGCCCTTCCCTGCCCCAAAGCAGCGGGAATCTCCTTCCCGCTGGACGTGGCATTGATTCCCAAACTGCTCCAAAAAAAAGCCTCAGCTGTCGCACATCCCGCCTCCCAGGGCTCAAGCTAATTCTGTAATTAGCTAATTCTGTAATTAATTCCGGTCTTAAGGAAAATATCCCTTCGGGAGCTGGTTCCTGCTGATCCACAGCACCCAGATCCTGCCCACGGTCCGTAACCCCGCGCTCGGATGCGCCGCAGGGGACGGGATGTGCCGTGGGCCAGCGGAGCATCCCAGTGCCATGGTCTGCCAGAACATCCCAGTGCCATGGTCTGCCAGAACATCCCAGTGCCATGGTCTGC